TATAAATATGATTCATATATATGATTCATTCTGATATATGATTGAGATATAATATCATATACACCATATACCTCATTCATACATATTCATTCATATATATTCATACACCATTTATCATCTATGGCTACCTATAGATGTATCAGTTCATCAACCAGATTAACTAATTCCCTGTCTTTAACCCTTGTATCAGTTAAATTAAATGCATTTTAAATTCTGCTTCTTTTGCAATTCAATCCTTTCAAGAATTGCTTCCTGCCAAGTTACACTTTCCTTAACTTGCAAAGCATGCAGTAGTGGAGAGTCATATTTTGGAAGGTCAGCCCAAAACTGTATAGGTCCTGGGATAGATTCTCCAGCTGATTGAGGTCCAGGCAACAAAATACAATAATACCCCAAATCCACAAGGCACTGATTCGTCTATTGGGCCAACCAAAATGTGCAAAATACATGGCGCAAGCTTTCTAAGCCCCAATGGCTTCTTCTTCACCAGTCCAAGGTGTTAAAAATCATACTGGAGAAAGAAAAATATGAGTATATTGTTTGGGCACTGGACTAGGACACCTGAAGACCTGGGTTCGAATCCCAGCTAGGCCATGGAAACCCACTGTGTGACCTTAGGCATGTCACACTCTCTCAGCCTCTAAGGGTGGCCATGGCAAGCCCCCTGTGAAGAAACCTTGCCAAGAAAAGCCCAGGATAGGGTCACCTTAGTTGGCAATGATTGAAGGCACAGAACAACAAAGATTGTAATTCTCAGATAAGATTGTTTGGTGAGATATCTATGCAGGCAGAAGCCTTTTCTTCTGGCCATGTTGGATTTGGGAAACAAACCGTCTTAAAGTCAGGAAATAAAATTTAAGCTCCATCAGCAACACAAAAAGAGGCTTCTTTTAATATTATCTAAAGAGGCCATATATCCATCTGTGACACAAATAGTGACCCATCTCTCTTTCACTTCACTTTCTTTCCCCTTCTTTCCATAATGTCTCTAAATTTCATCTCTGAAAGAAAGAAAGGAAGGAAGGAAGGAAGGAAGGAAGGAAGGAAGAAAGAGATGAAATTTAGAAACATTATGGAAGGAAAGGGAGAGAATGTGAAGTGAGAGAGAAGGGTCAGTATTTGTGTCCAAATGGATATATGGCTTTTTATTTTAGATATAAGGAGTTGGTTATATATCTATATAGGATGAGGTATGTATTACAATGGGCTCTATGGTTTTTGTCTGCTTGTTTGCTTGTTTTCTGTGATGTGTTTACATGCTCATCATTGTGTAGCTTCAATGAAACTTTAATAAAATTGTATTTATTCCAAAGAAAGAAAGAAAAAGAAGTTGTTTCCTTTGAGCTCCAGGATGTTTCTCTCTTTAGGTAGAGAATATCGAATTTCTCCAGAAGTATTTGGAAAACTGGAGGTGTTGTCCCAAATGTAATCCCAATTAAAAGAAAGATTTCCCTTTGCTGGATAATAATAATAATAATAAT